TTTTTTTTTTTCAGTTTTTTGTCTTGAAAAGTTTTCAAGTACCCTAAATAATTACAAGGGTTTGATATTAACTTTATATCTCAATGGTTTGGTTTAATTGTTATATTTCAATGCCGTTAACCAATTACTTCCTTCTCCCATGTAACAGCTATTACAGCTTAAAGTTTCAAATAAATATGTAAAGCAAAAAACCATTTAATTATAAAACGTATTTTTGAAGCAACACAAAAACTCAAAAAATCCTTCAAACCCTATTGAATTTTATTTAAAGACTGATAGACGTTTTCCGGTTTAGTAATTTTTAACATTCACTCACCATTTGTTTATACCCTCTGCTATATTTAAGAAAGAGAAAACAGAAAGATACTGACTTTTTCCTCTCACTCAATAATAATTCCGTACCGTTTTCACTGTCTTATGAATTTCTAATACACTGCTCCGAAACTGCACAGATTGTTAAATAAATGACAGACCAGTATCTGTTCAATCTTCAGTTCAACAAAAAATCTGGCAGTTTAAAGAAATAAATTTATTTTAAGCATTGCAATTTCCATAATTAAGTACTTGTCAAGTGAAATAAGATGGCGGGTCGAAAGGGATAAAATTACATCCTTGCCAAGCCTAGTGAACCCCAGGTGCGCCTGTAGGAATCTAGCTTACGACAAATAAACGATTTTAAGAAGCGTACATTTTAGCAAAAATTCCAGCCTCCATATCGAAATGCTTATAGTGGAGATTTTACGCCATTAATATTTGTTCACTGACAAAACTTTTGTTATAATAGTGAGCAAATGAAAATAGTAATGTAAAAAACATTTGATGAGAACAGTTACCGGTAACTGCTGTACGATAGGATTTCATTCACTCAACATTCGCCTACAGGTTATATGATAAAACTATTTAAAACTTTCTTAACTAACACAATTGACAGTAATTATGAGCATTTCATTTTTACCAGTTACAAGAGTTTCAAACCATTACAACAGTGTATTTAACCCTTCCGAAACTGCATGCAGAAATTCTTGCCGCTTATTTTAAACCGGCAACCTCTTTATTCATACTGTGCAATTACAGCTTTGAAATGCTATTTTGTTCAGTTAATAATAATTTAGATCTTTTACAGTATAAGAAGTTTCTTCTCATTTACGCAAAGCCTGTGTCAGGAAATGGCATGCTCACAGCTGATTATAAACGGTAGAAACCCCTTTATCAGATACGCATATAAATCCCTCGGTGCCGAAGAACCATGATAAGCGCAAGGAAAATAGCAAATTGCAGGTGAACACGTATTAAGGCAGAACGAAAACTGAGACGAATGCGGTGAAAAATGACATGAACTCTGTCTGAACTTAGTCGTAAGTGTGTTGGCACCCTGCCAGCTAGTTTAAATTTTAGCAAAGTCCTTTTATTAACTATTGGGCGAACATCCGTGTTTGTCATTAGGGTATTGCGTTGGTGAGCTTGCTGGGCTTTTTCTGTTCATTGTCTTGGATGAAGTAAGATTTGTTCTATTCTACATTTTTTTGGAGGATATCATCTATTTTAGTCAGGTATGAAGGGGTTTTTGCGTCTTCATCAAAAAACGATACTACACACAATTTGTATACCAAATATCAGCAGTTTTTTGACAGGGTTACGTGAGTAGGTATCTCATGGATCACACAAATCAAGATAATTTGTCCGATGCCGATTTAAGTGTAGATGGCGAGTCACTTAATTCGTTCAATGACTTTGTGAGTGCATCCACCAGTTCTGTAAAGGTTTGTTTCTAATTTTTTAAACACTGTGTGACAATTTAAAAGAAGTGGCTAGGACCTTGCCGCATTCAAACGTTCCCACCCTCCAGAATGCTTCTTTCAATTGTGAGCCTAACTTCGATTTTTTGTATGCGGGATTCTCGATACTGTTCTACCCGCCTGAAGTAGTTTCAGATTCGTCTACGTAGCTTTTGTTAACTTTTTAGAGATATAATGCTAAGTCGCTTCATTTCTTTTGCCATTTTACAATGCAGCTTTCACGTCGGCGAGGGGTTTAAGTAGTGCAGGCTTTTTATATCTGTGATTCTAGGTTCTTGTAAGGTTCAAATCTACTCCCCGCGTAGTTCTTCCATCCACACTTTTCAAGGTACGTGACCGTTTTCTGGTCTCCTCAAAAATACCTACATAATCACAGTTTTTTAGTTTTGTACGCAGAATTAGGCAAATGACACAAAGTCTATTTTATAGGGAGGTTTACGTTTACTATTTTACAAACCTCTCTGGCTGCTTTTTAATTTACAAAGATAGTCAAAACATGGAAAAAGTAATCCTGAGAATTTTTGGCAAAAATGGAAAAGGTGACTACAGATTATGAAAGATGCAACATAATTAAATTGAAGTAATAAGAATCAGGAAATAGTTAAAACAGAGGTGCGGGAAAAAAGTATAGCTGTCAGGTTTTTACAGCTTAGGTTTTAGCTTTTTCTTTATCACAAATTTGTTTCGTAGTCGCCTTAAGTAAAAGCTACATAGACAGACCTGAAACTAACACAGGTGAATTAGACGCTTTCGAGAGCCTCGTATACAAAAAATGAACTTAGACTGACGATCCAAAAAAAATTTTTTTGAAGGTGTGTAAGCTTAACTGCAATAGCCGAACTCAATTCTTTATGCACCGGTTGTGAAGTCGGTTTCTCTTAAATTGATGAAGTTATAAAAGGGCTAAAGTTTAGTAACTGCAGTATATGGCTTAGCGTGGTGTTCTATCTTACGAATTCACAAACTAAACCGTAGAAACAGATTCTCATACTAATATACATTGTTCCGAGACTTCAAAAACACTTCAAAACAGACAGTTCAATTTCGTTTCTGGAAGTATGACCCGGTAATGATAGGCTGCTTACCAGGAGTACTAGTCTAGCAGTTTGGTGATACCAGGTCAAAAATTGCTGCTAAAGCTCAGCTACTGTACGGACCAGTAGTTAAAGAAAAGGTTCTTTTATAGCCTGTATTAACTTTAACCGACATTTTGAATGGAAGATCTTGCGCGACCTAGTCGCAGAGAAAAGGGCGTAAGGCATAAAGTGTTTGATATTCTTCTGGAGGATAGTCGGAGAAAGCCATTTTTTGCATAAGTATGATGAGATATTACTAAGTTCTAGAATTCATAGTTTAATGTCATTTGTTTTGTGCGTTGGCTGTTTCAGTGGAAAAGGAAAATTACTAAAATCAAGAGCTAGTTAAAAATACTTTCCGCGACTCTGGTGACTTTTTAAGAGGAGCATTTTTCTGGATGCGGTATCAAGTTGTTACACTTGCTCAGGTTTCAGCGGTTTTTATCTTGACTTAAAAGCCTACTTAAATTAATTTACTGCGCTATCAAGGTGTTTTCGACCTAATGCTTTCAGGCCTGCTTATATAATCGTTTCATAATTCTCCCATTTTCAAATTCTGTATAATGCTTTGGTACTTAATGATCGGTAAATCATTTGTTTCAGTAATTTGTCATTTTACTTATTTCTTACTTCTAACATTAATCATTTGTTCCAGTAACTTGTCATTTTACTTATTTGTTATTTCTAACGGTTATAGGAAAAGCTTTTGAAAATACCAAAGGGACGGGGGATAGATCTGGAAGAACATCCGGAAGTAAAAGAAAAGAAATCTGGTATAATATATTTTCAAACCATACCACCCCTGTTTACTGTTGCTCGTATGAGGGAAGAGATGTTAAAATATGGGGATGTTGGCAGGATTTACTTGCAGGTTTGTTATTTCATATATATTTCTTTGTTCATGTCGTTGCCTGTAGTTTATCATTTAGTGATTTTTACGGCTCTTTTTGAGGTATTTTTGCTTTTTTTGTTTTTATTATATCTTCGTTTAAAGTCGGTTTTGTGCCACTTTGAGTGAAGAAAGTTTGAGAAATTCTTTTCATTTAGAATTCTCCATAGAGTTTAACATCTCGTCTGCTCAAAGCTTGCAGTGTAAGCGTTTTTCATTCAAGTTTGTGCAGTGAATGTGGAACTCTTGTGAATACGATAAAGAGTGCTTCTCTCCTAGTTAGTTTAGGCAGAAAAACGTCGTGATTTGCATGGGAAGCGAAGGAAACGTTATGTAGAAGGATGGGTAGAATTTAAGAACAAGAGCCTTGCTAAAAGAGTAGTCGCATCGTTGAATAATACTCCCGTCGGTGGTAAGCGTCGTAGTGCTGCACGAGAAACTTTGTGGACTATGAAATATCTGAGCGGGTTTTTTCTTTTTTTGGTTTATAAATTTATTTTCGAATCATATTCTTCTGGGATAAATAAAGTTGTTATGCTTTAGGTTCAAGTGGACTCATTTGATTCAACAACTTAATTATGAGAAGAAAGTTGAAGAACAGAGAATGAGAGCTGAAATCTCACAAGCAAAACGACAAGCTGATTTCTTTGCTGAACAAGTGGAGAAGGGTGAACAGCTCAAGAAATTAGAAGAAAAGGTTGGCTTTGAAAGTGTTATGGATAACAGGTCTGTAATTTGGTTATTTCACGGGTGTTCTACCACCTGTTTACTTAAAGGGGTTAGTACTATATCGTACTTTAGTAATGTTTAGTATTGTTCTGCTGACTTGGAAACATTCACGTTTATTTTTTAGGCTTACTGTCTTAACCTCTTCGTATAATTATGTTTTAGATTTTGGCCTTTAAATTCTTTTAGGTAATGAAAAAGGGAGGAGTTTGGGAAAAGTATCAAAGACAAGTACAGCAGAGAAAGGCCATCAAAGGGAAACAAAAAACTGCCAAAAACACCGCTGCGGCAGATGATCAGTTGTTACGTATGATCTTTGTTGATTAGCACATCAGAAAAAAGTGCGTGCATTGGTAAATTTGTAGTTCTTTAGGCGCTTTGCCATGTATAATTTAATTTTATGTTTATTTCTCTTACTGCAACTGACGTAGTGAAAAAATTCTTTTTATTTTTTAATGTTTCAATCCCTGAGACTGGATGGGCTATTCGGAACATACAGAGAATTTCTCGGAGGCTTTCTAAAAACCTTATATTTCATTTCGTTCAATTTATTCATTTTTCTTTCACCATTTTGTGTTGAACTGTGCGTTTGGCACTGAATTTCGAGTACGGTTTGATTGGATTCACATTCATCGAAGGTTTTTTCTAGTTCTCATTCTAGTTTCTAGGGGGAGCAAAGTCTTTATCACATTTTGGTGAGGCGTGATATTTTACACGAATAAATTTGAATTCAAATGCAATAATTTAATTGAAGATTATGCGGTTTTGGCTTCTCCAATATGCCAAAGAAAACTTCAGAATTTTTGACTTAGTAATAGTATGCTTGTGTCCCAAGTCGCTAAAGCAAACAGAATGAACTGACTACTAGTTTGCGACGTTGAAAGGTTTTTTACTTGCTGTGCATCCTCAAATTATTACGCTTTTTTTGGGCTTAGATGTTGTCACAGCAAACTTGTCTACTGAAGGAGTAAAGGTGTAAGGAAGATTTTGGAAGATTAAAATAACCGTCATTCGAAAAATTTGCGGCTGCGGTATTTTAGAAAAAGCTTCAAGTTACCTCCAACTTCTGTTTGATTCGTGTGGTTCTTACTTATATGACAATTAAGCGTTCAGCGCAAGTGATAACCTTTAAAAATTTCTTCAAAAGGTCTTTGGCATGAACAAGTTGGAAAGGTCATAGAAATTCAAAGCATATTTAGTTGCTGATTAACGACAGCAGGAAGATGCTAAAAACTTTTTAACTTTCCTAACTGTTGGTCGTGGTCCACAAACTTGACATTTTACGTAAAATATTGTATATAATTGTTTATGGAAATGCGATGATGATACTTTATCTCTAATGTTTCCCATAGCAGGTAAGATTATTTGATCCGATAGTGAATAAAATAATATTCTTGGACAGATTGCTCGTTTATATGGGTTTTAAGACAGTAGACTTTGGAGGATTTTCACTGGTTTGTAATCCACTTGAAACCTTTTGTAAAAAGAAGTCGGGATAGGCGAAGTGCGTTTGTAAGAAAGTTTTCGACTTTCTGCAGTCAAAATCAGAAGTTGCTTGCTGGAAAAGTTGGATGCATTCTAATTGCCAAGTTATTTGTTCTTTGTAGACTGAGCTCTTTTATCACTTTTTGAACTTTCTGAAAACAACATCAACAGCAGAAGAAATGGATAGTAATTTACCGCTTCACAAGTGATTACCCAGTTATATTACAAATTTTGGTAGATTACGAACTGGATTAGATCACAATTAGGGAAGGAACGATTCCATGAATTAGGAATAGAACTAGTCGAACGACAATTATTTAGGAAGTACAAAAGTTAAAAACAACACAGGGGGTAAAGCTAGTGCTATAGAATGGAAAATTTTTGAGACCATTACAACTGAGGCGAAGGGCTGAACGCTATGATACTGCTGCACATCGGCATTTCATCGGCATTTCGTGCAAAGCGAAAACCTAAGCAACACTTGAAGTCAACAATAACGAATTTTAGGCAGAACTTACAGCTTTTGATCTATATATCGTCCGCGGCATCGTTGGCTTTCGACGTTTATAGCGTAAAATGTGATTCGTGACAGGGCTGGATGTTCCGGTTTCAAGAAAACATATCTGGAAAATGCCATCATTGAAGCACGAAATTTTGGTTTTTTTACGAACATAAGAGAGTAGTAGAGCTTCGAGTTGTATATATTTGACGCTTGGTTATAAGTTGCCTCATTACAGAAAACCCCATTCTTTTTTGTATGTTTTCCTTATTTAAAATTTGTATTTCTCAGGCCTACTAACAACGAAAAGAATAAAAAAATTTCAAGAACAACGAACAAAGTGAAGAAGTTTTTGGCACAAAATTTTTTTGGCAGAAAAAGCAAAAATTTGCTTAGTCTGTCTTGTTGTACCCCACAAAAATCAACATCAGAAATGTTTTTTTTTTTTTTTTT